TTTATCATTTACATGTTAAACCTTATAATTATCACATGTTTACCATCACAGGTGTGTATAAAATCCGACCAAACATCAACTTTCATTTTGATCAATTGATGCTCCCAAAAGGAGGCCACTTTGGTGACATTTTATTTTAATTGACTCACTCAAAATATTAAACTTTGTATAAGATACAATTCATAGCTAAATTCGAACAAAGTTGAATAAAAAAAATCTAAAAATCATACAAGGCGATGGTCATCATCCGTTACTCACTAGTAGGGATCGTTTGTCATTCAATAATGATGGTCGACATTTGAAAGAGATGTTTGACCGTCACAATGTTGACAATCGTCAACAAAAATAGGGGGTACCCATCAGTCAGTGTTGATGGTCATCACCAATGACACCCTCATCATTCGAGTTACGGAGCATGACAGTCAGTTCGTCATCAAGGGTGATGGCCGTCATAATGCGCAAACTAGACTTTACGCAAAATAACGACAAATCCTCCATTTCTCCTAAATTTTGCCAAATTTGTTCAACATCCAACACAAAAAACGATGAAACTTAAACCGAGATTATGATTAACATCATAAAATATAAACTTTACAAAAATATAAAAATTAAAAAGGATCCATATTTTGAAACCTTAATATGAAAAAATTTCAAATTCAAATTGAATCATATATGAGTGACTCTGATATCACTTGTTGGATTTGTTCATTACATTATGTATCTCTACCCATATAGAAATCAAAAATAGAATCTTTAACTAATTCCTTAGAGCATCTTTAGTGAGAGTATCTTAAATGGGTAAACTAATATATTTTTTGTGGGCCCAAAGTGATTTGTAGGATTTAAAAAATTTATAGTTGATTTGAGTTGTTTTTACTTTAATGATAGTTGCTTATAAAAAACTAAAACTTAACCCTATATTTTATATTATATGTGGGCCCAAAGTGTTTTTACTTTAATATTATATATTTCAAAATAAATAGTATACGTTAGCTATATAATTGCCGGAAACTAAAAGTTAGTGAATTAAGTGTCATGTCATAGCCATTCCAATGCAAATTCTTTATAATCATCGTTAACAATGAAAAGTTTAACTATTAAAAATCTGCATTAAAGATGCTCTTAAGAGTTTAACTCATATCCTATGGTTTTTTTAAACTAATCACTTGTTGAGTTCCTTAGGGTTTTTTAAATCTTCTCTGGTGTGGATGAAAAGAGAATCCTAATAAAATGTGTTTTCAAATTACTTTACAAATGTGGATCACAACCCATATAAATAAATGTAGGGTTGTTTTTTAGTTTTCAATATTATAATTTCCCTCTTATCAAACTAATATTGACTTAAGATACCTACATAATAACCTTATCTTTCATGACATTTATGCTTTTAGCCACAAACTTAATATTAATTAGACCGCTTTAGTTTTGACTAATTAAACAATGACCATAACACATGTAATATTGTATTTGTGATCCAAAATTGTAACACATCAAACACCAGAACGACTATTTCTTCCTTTCCTGAGTTAAAGATAGAATCATTATATGATTAAGCATGTATCAATAACATTGATGTATATTATTATACCTAGTTAATAGCCTCTTAATTTACTTCTTTTTATAGTATTATGCAATTATGTCTATGCATAACCATAGGAATGCACTTGTGTATATAAACTTAGTACATGAATGAATATAATCAGTATTCCCTAAACATTCTTTCTTGGTATTAGAGCTTTAAGCGTGAAAGCTCTCGATCCTTTTATTCATGGCATTCGCTATATAAACAAACCAAAAGAATGATATACCCTCAACCATCTATGTTAAGCAGAACATAGAAAATCTTCCCTCGTGGAAATCACTGGTCTTACCTTTGATAAAAGGAAGCAAGATCGATGGTTGTTTTTTAGCGACACAAAAATGTCCTGAACAATATATCACATCAAATGGTGTAAGTAGCAAGAAGATCAATCCATAATTTGAGGATTGGCTTGCTCATGACCAATAAATTATAGGTTGGTTGCAAAACTTGATGACAGTAGGAATTGCAACACAACTTCTGCATTTTGAGACATCCAAAGAGCTTTGGGATGAGGCTTATACAATATATCAAGTTATCTATCTCAAGTCAGAATTTCATACTTTTAGAAAAGGAAAGATGAAGATGGAGGAATACTTGATTAAGATGAAAGGGCTTGCTGACAGGCTAAAGCTAGCAGGTTCTGCAATTTCAAATTCTGATATTATAATCCAAACTCTAGATGGATTAGACATGGATTACAATCCTGTTGTGGTCAGGTTATCAGATCAAATTTATCTAAGTTGGGTTGAATTGCAGTCTCAATTATTGGCTTTTGAAAGTATACTAGAGCAACTCAATAATTTCAACAATCTCAACATGAATGCCATTGCAAATGTTGCTAACAAGACCGATTTTAGAGGAAATAGGTCCAACTCTCGAGGAAATTGGAGAGGATCAAACTTCAGAAGCATAAGAGGTGGCAGAGGCAAAGGTAGAATTTCTAATTCAAAACCAGTTTGTCAGGTATGCACCAAAACTGGTCACACAACTGTAAACGATTTTTATCACTTTGATAAGTCCTACAGAGGCACAAATTACTCAAATTCATAACATGAGAAGCAAGGTACAACAATGCATTTGTTGCATCACCTTATAGTAACCAAGATTATGAGTGGTATTTTGACAGTGGAGCTAGCAATCATGTCACAAACCAGGCTGAGAGATTTCAAGATCTCACTGGTAAGAATTCATTGATGATTGAAAATAGGGAGAAACTCAAAATAGTTGCCTCAGGTTCCTCCAAAATTAACACTGTCAACTTGCACAATGTTTTATATGTACCACAAATAATGCTTTTCTTAATAAACATGTTAAGGAGATTATATTATCGTTTCAACCAGAAGGGTATGCAAATCCACCAAAACTAAACCACATATGCGAGTTATCTAAGGCAACTTATGGACTGAAACCGGCCCTAAGGGCTTGGTTCGATAGCTTGAAAATGCTCTCTTAAACTGGGGTTTTTAGAATACTAAAAGCGATTCCTCCCTCTTCATTCTCAAAGGTGCTAACCATACCACTTTTCTACTTATCTATGTTGATGATATAATTGTAACCGGTAGAAACACTAAGTTTCTAGACGTTTTTATTAAGCAACTAAATATAATATTCTCCCTTAAAAAGCTTTGACAACTACACTATTTCTTAGGCAACAAGGTACAAAGAGATGCAGAAGGACTGTACCTGAAATAATAAAGGTACATAAGTGATTTTCTCAAGAAATTTAACATGGAGAAATCATCATCTTGTCCAACACCTATGGTTATAAGGAGACAATTTACTATTGAGGGAGAACTAATGGCAGAACCAACTTTGTATAGATAAGCCATATGCGCCTTATAATATCTCACCAACACACAACCATATATTGCATTCTCTGTGAACAAACTAAGTCAATATATGAGCTTTTCTATTATTGAACATTGGCAAGGTGTAAAGAGAATACTGAGATATTTACAAGGCACAACAAACTACTATCTACATATCAAGCCTTCCACTGACTTATATGTAAATGGTTTTTCAGATGCTAACTAAGCTATACATATAAATGATAGAAAATTCATGGGAGGGCAATGCATTTTTCTTGGTGAAACATTAATTTCTTGGTCCTCAAGGAAACAAAAAGTTGTGTCAAGATCGAGTACTAAATCTGAAAACAGAGCCCTAACTGACATGGTTGCTGAGATAACTTGGATTGGATCCCTCCTAAATGAATTAAAACTACCACTATCGAGGAAACCAATATTGTAGTGTGATAACCTGAGCGCTAAGGCACTTGCATCAAATCCTGTTATGCATGATAGGTCCAAGCACATTGAAATAGATGTCCACTTCATAAGAGATAAAGTACTTAAAGGTCAAATCACAATGGCTCATGTTCCAACACATTGCAGACTGTCTAACTAAATCACTCACTCACTCAAGATTCAACTTCCTAAGGGACAAACTTAGAGTGACTTCATCACCATCAGTTTGGGGGAGAACATGAATGAATATAATCATTATTCCTTAAACATTCTTTTTACCCCAACGAAGGATCCACACCAATGTCGCCATTCAATCGACCGAGTTGCTCACCAATAAACCCATAAACCCAAACAACATAACCTAACTATTGTGACATGGGCAACAAACTCAATTGTGACAGCACGTTAATGTATACATCAAATTACATAGAATTACAATAACTAATTAGGGAATCTGGTGATGGTGATGTTCCAGAGACCCTGTTTCAAACACTAGGGGGTGAATCAATAAAGACCAGTACGAGAAAAGACACATAAAGTGCGTGGAACCTGTGCCATGTATGTACAAGTGAGTCATCGTCTTTAGTGCAAAATATATTCTCATATGTAATCCGATCTAATTATATATTTTTAGATTTTGTTCAATTGTTTTTATTAATTAATTATTTTTTATGTAATTGTTTTTATTAATTAATTAAATAAAAAAAATTGTAACACATAAAAGTCAATTGAATTAACTATTGCACTTATATTTGTAATGCTTTCGCCAATTGAATTGATTACATAGAGAGTAGTCGTCAGTTTAATTATCCAATCCCCTTCTTTATCAATGATATGTGGTGTCGCCAATTGAATTGACTATTTTGTTGCAACATAATTTTTTTCTTTGATAATAAGTATTTTAGAAATTATTTTGAAAAAATGTTATTAGAGTATTTTTATTAAAAAAACATAATTATTAAAAAAAAATCGGATTATTTACTTCACACTAGTAAAATAAATTATTGTTCAAAAATATCTCAACTCCTAAATCCTAATGGGCTGGGTAGTTAACAAGTTGGGCCGCATCTGAAGAATAGTATAGATTAGGGTTATAGAAACCGCTATATAATCTCTATTCTACACTCATCTTCTTTCAGCTCTTCTGGATCTTGACCTATCAAGCCGTCGTCATGGTACCATTTTATCATTTCTCACATTTTCTACTGCTTGTTTCTCTATTTTAAATCTCTGATGTGTTTTTCTGATTATCAGGTTAAGTACTCAAGAGAGCCCGATAATCCCACCAAGTGTAAGTTCCTTGTGATGCATCGCTTTAGTATCTTTTGGTTTTATTGATTTTGTTATTGATTGTATTCTTTTGGCATATGCAGCTACCAAGGCCCGAGGTGCAGACCTTAGAGTTCATTTCAAGGTAATTAGGTTTTGTTATTTTGTTTACTGTAATTATTTTTGAAATTTGATGAATTTGATTTGCTACAAGATAGATCAATGGTGTTTGTTCAACTAGATATTTGTGTTTTTAATATCATTTTTTGTGTGTTTTAATTGAGTTTTAGGGTTTAGGGTTTTGTGCCGACGTAAAAAGAAGATTGCCTTTTATTGTTAGTTCAGTTTTTTGGGTCTGTTGATTAGAAATGAATTCTATATAATCCTGAAACCTACCCACGGTTCAGTTTTGTTGCATAATAAAATCTATTCCCTTAGGTTACTCTATCAATTGTTGTGTGTGGTACTGAGTTGACCTGTTTGTTTATTAGTTAACTCGTCACTTATACAAACGTTTCTGTTTGCAATCTGCACCTGATCTATTTTCAGTTTACTTATAAAAAACCCTACTACCAGTTAACAGAGTCTTCAAAACCTGATGAAAAAAGCAGTGGATTGTTGCCTTTGTGAACCGTCCTCTCGTTAAATTCAGGGATATCAAATTCATTGTTATTGGGTGAACCTCTTTCCCTTTGTGTTTGAAGGTATTGAATGATTAATAATACTTGGGGATACATGTAGCATAGTTGCTGTCTACCTCATTACTTGGTTCTTTTAGCCTGCTGCATAGTTACTGCTTACCTTAATACTATTTTATTTGCGTTTTTCTCTGATAACTTTCACTCTTCAGCAAATAAGTTAACACAACTTTTAGTTTTCTAATGATTTGGATTTATATAACAACCTGATTGATAAAAAGCAGTGGTCTGGTTCATATATGAGCAGTCTTCTCGTAACTATCAGGGATATAAAACCCATTGTTTTTGGGTGAACCTATGTTATTTTTGACTGAAGGTTCAGTAAATGATGGAACATTTTGATCTTTTCTTTCATTAATATTTTTTTGAAACTTTTCTTTACTGATGTTGTGAGTTTAGTTGAAAAACCTGATTGACAAAAAGCAGTGGTCTGTTTCCTATATGAGCAGTCTTCTCGTAACTATCAGGGATATAAAACCCATTGTTTTTGGGTGAACATATGTTCTTTTTTATGACTATATGTTCAGTAAATGATGGAACACTTTATCTTTTCTTTTATTAATATTTTTTTAAAACTTTTCTTTACTAATGTTGTGAGTTTAGTTGATAAACCTGATTGACAAAAAGCAGTGGTCTGTTTCCTATATGAGCAGTCTTCTCGTAACTATCAGGGATATAAAACCCATTGTTTTTGGGTGAACATATGTTCTTTTTTATGACTATATGTTCAGTAAATGATGGAACACTTTATCTTTTCTTTTATTAATATTTTTTTAAAACTTTTCTTTACTAATGTTGTGAGTTTAGTTGATAAACCTGATTGACAAAAAGCAGTGGTCTGTTTCCTATATGAGCAGTCCTCTCGTAACTATCAGGTATATAAAACCCATTGTTTTTGGGTGAACATATGTTCTTTTTTATGACTATATGTTCAGTAAATGATGGAACAGTTTGATCTTTTCTTTTATTAATATAGTTTGGTGTTTTTAATTTTATTATCTGCTTTGCAATTTACTTTTCTTCACTAATGTCAACAGTAAGTTTAGTAAATCAATGATCTGGAGTGTTAGATTAGCCTGATTGACAAAAAGCAGTGGTCTGGTTCCTACATGATCAGTCCTCTCGTATCCTTCAGGGATAGAAAAACCATTGTTCTTGGGTGAACCTATGTTCTTTGTTTGTGACTGAAGGTTCAGTAAATGATGGAATACTTTGATCTTTCATTAATAGAAGTTATTTTATTGAGTGGATTTATTAAATGATATGGAGTCGTAGGAAATCCTGATTGAAAAAAGCAGTGGTCTGGTTCCTATATGAGCAGTCCTCTTGTAACCTTCAGGGATATAAAAACCATTGTTCTTGGGTGAACCTATGTTCCTTGTTTTGTGACTCTAGGTTCAATAAATGATGAAATATTTTGATCTTTTGTTTCTTAATACATACTTTTTTTAGTTGATACTTTTTGGTTCTTTTGATAAAGTATTTTTTTATTGCTTTGTAGCCTCTTTCACTATTGCTTTGTAAGTTAGATTAGTCCTTAGCAAAACCTGATTGAAAAAAGCAGTGGTCTGTTTCCTACATGAGCAACCCTCTCGTAACCTTCAGGAATATGTAAACCATTGTTTTTGGGTGAACCCGTGTTCTTTGTTCATGACTCAAGGTTCAGTAAATGATGTAATATTTACCTTCAATGCATCAAAAAATTGTGATCAACTTTTGATCACTGTACTGTGGTTTTTAAATAAAGGGTGACACAATCATCAATCCTTGGAGAGTTGAGTACCTATAGTATGTATAAATGATGTAATTTTAAAAGACAATGATTTGGCATGTCTTTTGTGTAATGTAAACCCTTTTCCCGGTCCATTGATTTATGCGTTTTATTATTGTATATTGATCAAGTAATATGATTATTAAGCTTCCTAGTTCAATTGTTAGTAGGTTTTTTTATTCCAGTTATGTGATGTGATATTAATCTTTTTCAATTGCACATGCAGAACACTAGGGAGACAGCGTTTTCCATTAGGAAGATGCCCTTGATCAAGGCTAAAAGGTACTTGGAAGATGTTCTTGCTCACAAACAGGCCATTCCATTCAGACGTTTCTGCCGTGGTGTTGGGAGGACAGCCCAGGCCAAAAACAGACACTCCAATGGACAAGGGAGGTGGCCTGCCAAATCTGCTAAATTCATCCTTGATTTGCTTAAGAATGCCGAGAGTAATGCTGAAGTATGTTCTGTATCTTTTATTTGGTCTTTGAAATAAACTTACTTTTACTGTCATTATGCTCATTTGAATGATCCTTGCTTATTTTCAGGTCAAAGGTTTGGATGTTGATGCTCTTTATATTTCTCATATCCAAGTCAATCAAGCACAGAAGCAAAGACGCCGAACATACAGAGCCCATGGAAGAATCAACCGTACGTTTGAATCTTGGGATTTGTTTTAATAGTTCATGTTTTGACGTGTTTGCTGTGATACGTTTTTTTTAAACGGCGACTTGGTCTGTTTTTTGCAGCTTACATGTCATCCCCATGTCACATAGAGTTGATATTATCCGAGAAGGAAGAACCTGTCAAGAAAGAGGTATTTTGTTCATCATATTTTTGTTGATTTTCCTAATTCTTTATTGTTTGTGTTGAAGTAATCATTCTTTATCTTATTTGCAGCCTGAGACCCAGTTGGCTTCTAGCAAGAAGAGGGCTTAAGTACTTCCAAGGGGCACTTTGTCTTGAACTCTTGTTTATGTTAAGATAACAATTTTGTTGCCATGTTTTATTTTCTTCCATAATTTGTTGTATGAGATATTTGTAGGATAAAGCTTTCAAACTGTTGAGGTTTATACTGTTTTGAATTATTGAGCCAATTTGGAAACTTTGGTTTTTATCTAACATTATTCATGACTGTGTCACATATTCACCACGTAGTTCTTGATATGTCTGATTTAAATAACATGCAGCAGCACCAGAGCTTATGAAGTTTGTCATAGTTATGAGTTAATTTCTAACATGCTGTGATGTCTTTCTTTTATAATGGTGAAAATCTGAGCATCGTATTTTTAGAACAAAATGGAATTCTTGTGTTTTTTCATTTTTATAAATCTATTCTTTCTAAAATTATTACCTATGTGTAACATAGACATAGCGTTCTGAGAATGACACATTTAAATTTGTTATCTGCCCGAGGGAAGAATATGTCATATTTGTCAATCATATTTATCAATGTTAAAACTTTATATTTCTTTTGAATAATGAATATTTAAAATTTTATTTTTAGTCCTTCAAATGATTTTTTCAAAGATTGATCCTCCTTAAAATTTTTATTCATACTTTTTTTAATTTGTTTCTAAAATGGTTCCATTTCCATCTTTGATCCATGTCTCAAAGGAATTTTGGCTGAAACGTCAAACACAAAGAATGATGCATTTTTCTCACATTATTATATCCAACCCTAACAATGAAAACCCTAGATTTCATGTTACTTGACCGATGATGCACTTTGTTGGAACCAATGGATGCATATCAACCGTTTGCTTTCAACAACAAATAACTGCTGTTTCTGATTATCAACGGGGTTTTGCAATTTTACATCCAGTATCAATATCACACAATTGGTTGAATCTAAATTGTCTACATCTATAACAATTTTCGGCAACAACCTAAACCACATTCAAACCAAAATGTTATCACACTTCTTACCCAACTCGTAAACAACAACACATAAATCAAAATACCCCAACACCACCATTTATCCTAACCTTACCAACATCACCCTCCAACGAACCCATTTCTACACCAATTCATATGTTACCCAAACCTAAGCCCATTTCTACACCAATTCATATATTACCCAAACCTAAATGGAAAATAGGCGTGCCAAAAGATTATGCTTACAATTTTTTTACTCTTGCTTTCTACAGATGAACTACTAGACCCTCCCCCGGACATACCTCCAAATGACCTTTCCTACTTACCAATTAAAAAACAACCTCATTTAGATCATCTCCTCTCATTCACTCTGAAACACAACCATTAGAGACTAACTCTGAACACTTTCACCTCACTTCAAACATTTTCAGGATATCCCCACCCAGAACACTCAAATTTATGCTCGCATACACGACCAATTTGTATTCGTTTTGGTTTACACTGGCAGTTCACATAACATTATTCGACTAAGAGTTGCAACATTCTTGATATTGCCAACAGAAGACATGCCATCTTTTTCTGTTATGGTGGGTAACTATACTCAATTAAAATGCTACAGTTTGTATACAAATTTCCCTTTGATTGTGGCATAACATCAATTTCTAGTTTCTCTTTACCTTTTACCTTTTCAGGGGGCTGTCATTGTTTTGGGTTTACAATAGTTACAAACTTTGGGACCATTTGTTTCTGATTATACCATACCCTCAATGAAATTCTACTATAACGTAGTCATGGTAACACTTGAAGTGTTTCACTTCCATATCTATGGGGACTTTCCCTCAACCAAATCAAATGCTTTGCGCCGACTCTTTTGTGACTCTCCACAAAATTACAACGATACACACTAAACCACAATAAACAATATTTCAACCAAAGAAAACCATATCAAACTTGATTCCTTGCATCCTGACATTAAACATTTGTTACACCAGTTTTCTCACATCTTTTCTATACCACATGTTATACCACCAAATTTACAACATGATCATCATATTCACCTATAACCTGATTCGACTCCTGTTAAAATTAAACCGTACCATTATCCACATTTTGAGAAGGAGACCATGTCTTTCATGATTGAAAACATTCTAAAAGATGGTATCGTTCATCAAAGTACTAGTCCATATTCTTCTCCAATTGTCTTGGCAAAATAAGACGGGCCACTGCATTTTTGTGTGGATTATAGGGCACTAAATGCAATCACCACACAAGACCACATCCTATTCTGATGAACTGTTGGACAAATTAAGAGGTTCCCAAATCTTCTCTAATTGACTTACGGTGCGTTTATCATCAAATATGATTGACAAAAAAAGACATTCTAAAAACTAGTTTTTGAACATTTGATGGGCACTACTATTTTTTTTTATTCCATTTGGCCTACATCACCACATCCGTAAAAAAATATCATATATTAAAAATATCATATATTAGAATCAATCCAAAATCAATAAATTATTAAAAAGAAAAATCACAAACAATAATACTATCTAGAATCAATATCAAATACTATTGGATATATCTGATCCCTTGTTTCTTCTCTGTCTCATGTATTACAGCGTCCGAATAAAATGACATCTATAGTGACCCTCTCAAAAATGCCTTATGGAAATTCTCCTTGTGACACCCTAAATCTCAAAATAATATATTTGATATTGATAGATATTTAAAGTGTTTAAAATTAATAAAATTTTCTAGTCTAAAAAACTTTTTGAAATAAAGGACATCACTTCACGCACTTACACATTACAAATGATTTTTGTTTTTTGTTTTTTTATTATTTAAAATTAAGTTAAAATAATTCTACATCGATATGTTGAATATTCATGTGTTTTTAATGCGAAAATTAGAAAAAAATTTAAAAATAACTTTCCTACTCAATGTCACCTATCAGAGCGAGGCTTCTCCCAAACTTGAACTTCAAGGCTCATTATCCTATATGTACTAAGATTTTGCAAACGTGGGGCCAAGTCAGACAAATACAAACTCGAAAGGGTGAACTTCGAAAACATGTAACAATATAAAATAATTGAGAAAAATATGCAAATTTTTAAATAAACATTGTATCATATCAAATCAAATTTAACACGGGCCATCAACATCAAACATCTATATAATTCATAATTTCAAGATATAAATATTTTCATCTCAAGACAACCTTAATAAAAACAATCAATATAGAATACCAATATAAATCACGACAATCATCAAGTTTAGTTACATTTCAAACTACGATATGCATATTATTTTTCTCCAAATTTCTTCTCTTTCCTGATACTGCACCACACTCACAATATAAATACAAACGTGCTTCTCTCAATTGATAAATGCACTTATCTAATACTTCTCTCAAGTGATAATGTATTACATCATACGATTCAATTTCAGGTGTTATCCTCTCAAGCGATACCTCACTTGTGTAATACTTCTCTCAATCGATACTTTATTACATCCCACAATTCAATTTCAGGCGTATTTCTCTCAAGCTATATTGTAGTGTGTGGTCACTTCTCTATAGTGATAATGTGCCACATATTGTATGATATTTCTCTCTATTTAATACTGCACCTTAAAAACCATATAAGTTGGTCACTTCTCTAACATCAATTTAGGCTTATTTGACCCTACATAGATGATGACAAAATAACATCTACGTCAAAATCCTTAATATCTAGCCTCTTCCTTCGTTGGCCTAAGTTACTCCTTAGGAATATCGTCTTCAGCACGAGTCGGAACAATCACTATTTTATCATATAGGAGAAAACATCAAATACTTTTAACACCTAAAATTCACGATATCTTATTCCTTATTTGTACACATCATTATTTATTTCACACATTCAAACACCTCTTATCATATATACATCACAATTAAATATATCAATCCATCTTAATCCATGGATGAAAAATAATCACAATTATATCATCTCAATTATAATCACAACATCTCCACAAATAGTTATCTTTACCAATAACTACTCTCCAAATTATACAACCATCCTCTCATTTTATCACATCAAATATAATTTTTCATCTTCATTATATTTTTATACCATCTCACATCACTTAGTATATTCAGACACATATAAGTACATCAATTAATAATTTAGCACACCAAATATTCATACAAAGTCAATCATAGTCTCAATATCGTCACTAGTATATTATTATGATAAATTATATCATCAACTCATTACTCACATATAATAAGCTCACAATTATATCAACTATCAAATAATTATGATAATTAGATAACTATTACATTTTACACATGAACATTGTAAAACACAATCTTTCACAATTATATCAATTATCACACATTCAACATAAATTAAATCAATCAATACCTTAATAAATTTTCTAGTTCCTCTTTTAACCACACACTTCCATATTTGTACATTTATTTAATTTGATTATTGCTCAAGGACAACAACTATCACAACAATCCCTGAATAAATTTCGGGAAATACAACTCTCTCTTTAATCTCACTTATTTCAGATTCATGATTTGAATTCACTCTCACGCCATACCTTATTTTGATGCTCTCTCACGTGAATCAATATCCACCAACAAGGATTTTTCGTTCGTTCAAATCATCGCCTTCTAATCAATTCAATTTGATAATATATGATTAAATATCAGAAATTAAATATGTGAGTACACTTTAAAAATGTCAATTTCAAAATTTTGATCAAATAAATTTATCCCAAATCATAAATTAATTTGGTGCATATTATTGGTGACATTTTTAAGGTTGTTTTATTGTTGGTTCCACTCAAATCGGAGTTACGACGAGAAAAAAAATTAAAACTATTTGATTCAACCATTGAAAAAAATTATATTTTTAAAAAGATAATAAAATGAAAAAATTGAAATAAATATAAAATAATAACTAAGTTAAAGGTAAAAAAAATCATACTAAAATTTGAGGTAAATAAAAAAAGGTGTTTTGGTGATGTTTGACACCGAAATCGATTTTCTTCTTTTTTTTTTTCACCAT